AATAGATATGGATAAGGTTAATTTTTTTTTCAAAAGTATGTCAAAAATCAAGGTCAAGGTCAAATGGTCAAAATTAATGGTGCCCAAGGAAAGGCCTTCTCCCAAGAAATACACCTGTGAAATATGAAAGCCAAAGCACCGACCTTTCAAAAGTTATGACCAAGGTTAAAGTTTGATAAAATTTTGCAAAACTGGGTCAAACTCCAAGGTCAAGGTCAAATATGGTGGTACCCAGAGAAAGGTCTTGTCAGAAGGAATACACATGTAAAATATGAAAGTCATGGCTCCAACCAATCAAAAGTTATGGGCAAGGTTAAAGTTTTTGCGGACAAACAGACAGACGGACGGACAGGGCAAAACTACATACCCACGAATCTTCGATACGGGGGCATAAAAATGCGAATAAAGCGTTCGATTAATTTATCTTATCCAATAAATTAAAGAATTGAGAACACGTAAACTGGTTTCAAATTGTACATCTAGTAGGAAAATTCTATGAAATATTTTGTTTATAAAACAAGTAGAATCAACAGTTAACACATTAATCACAGATTGTGTTTGCCTGCACATGATTAGAAAAACTGACTTTCTATGAAATTGCCCAAAAATTTACGATACATGGGAGAATTATTTGAAATCGCAAAGATATAGTCAGATAAGAAACAAATACACTCAATTTTGTAATTCATATTCGATTATCTTGTGATTTATTTTTGAAATTGTGTATACTTCATAATTATATTTAAAAAATCCCTGTGATTCATATTTAATCATGCGAAAAGTTCATATTCGAAATCTTGTTACTGTGTATTTTTAGGGATGTCAAAATATTTATTTTCCTTAGTCGACTATTCGATAACATTATTCGAACGATAGTCGAATATTCGGAACATTTTCTTAAAATAAAATTTTAATATTTCAAACCTCACTTGTAAATGCAGGAGGTATTTATAACCAAAAAAAAAAAACCTTTTTACCTCATATATACAAAAAAGTAACATCAATTGCCTCTGTTGCACATAGATGTTTGCAGGCACCTAACGTGTGGGCAGTGTGTTATATATGAAATAATTTTAGACCGTAAATTATTCATATATCAGTTTTTATTTTACATGTAGCAAGCATAAAAAAATTGCCAGCATGATATTTTAAAGTTTACAAAAATAAATGGAGGGGGGGGGGGGGTTAATACACTATCTACGCCTTACTCTTTGAATATATGTATTGCTAATAAAATTAATTTGGAAAGATATACATATCACTACTTCAAATAAAACGTTTTATCATAATTATCATTTTATCTTTTATGGAATTTTATTCAATTATTCTCCATTGCTAAAGCAATTTGTTCATCACAAAAATTTGAACATTGGTCATAATTTTTTGTTTAGTTTATCAATTTCAAGAAATTTTCATCTAATAGAAAATATATAATAATTTTGAGAAGATCGGACTCTCATATTCCACATATGAATTACGAATTACAAAATCTTTCTGAATCTATTTTTTTTTTATCTTATGACCTTGTCAGTGAAATTTGATATACTTATAAAAAAAAAATAACCCTGACCTAAGCTTAGTATGGAATGAGATATATGTTTTCATAATTGACCTGTGCAATACCCGTGACAAAACTATAACAAGTCACTGGAATGTATATAGCCTAAGATCTTTGACCTTGGCATTTGACTTTCTTTTTACAAAACTTTTAATCCTGGCCAAAGCTTTGCACCTGATGAGACAGGACTTTAATATTTTCTTGTACATGAACATAGCTGTAACAAGACCTTCCAAATATACTTTGATTTTTAACCTCATAAACTTGACATTGAAGTTTGATCGACTTTCAAATCATAACTCGATCCTTGGTCCTAAGCTTTTAAACAGAACATCCCACTTTAAAAATATATAATAATTTTAAATATGATGAGCCGCCACGACAGTCACAATATGCCATAGACGATTGCATCCCAACCAAAAAGGAAAAAAAACAACAAAAAACGATTAAAGACATTCCATATCATTTCCATGCAGTGAAAATACACTGGGTCTCCTTCTTGACAACATGACAGCTAGGGTTTGTAGAACACATATTTTGGCACTATTATCCTACTGTTCTACTGTCATGAACATAGAAGAAATTTGAACTTTCTGTTGGTTGCTCTTCTTTTATGATAATTTTTACCATTTCACACTTTATTGATTAATTATGTAGATATGTATATCTTCACATTTTCTCTGGAACAAGTAAACAACATAATGGAATTTTTAGATTTCTCTCGATTTATGCAATAGAGGAATCAGGATACATTGGCATTTACAATGTAAAGATAGTTCCACACAAATATAAATCTTTGTCCATTGTTATAAGTTTCTATATCCTTTGCTTCCTCCTTGACAGGCTAACACTACAAAATAAAAAGTAAATAAGATCAATATAACATTAGAGTCAAGGCATCTTAATCACAATAAAATCATTATAGTTCATTAAACAACTCATACGTTCTCCACAAGATGTTACGTTTATGAAAACACCCTAAAAAGTAATTGGATTCATTTTCGTAATGCAAACTATGTTGAAGGTCACCCTACTAAAAAGATGGGAACTAGACCCTGCACGAGGGAAGAAAAAACCGTGATGAAGGGTATATAGACCCTGGTGATTGGTATACAAACCCTGGTGATGGGTATACAGACCCTGGTGATAGGTATACAGACCCTGGTGATGGGTATATAGACCCTGGTGATAGGTATAAAGACCCTGGTGATAGATAAAACGGACCCTAGTGATAGGTATACAGACCATGGTGATAAGTATATAGACCCTGGTGATAGGTATACAGACCCTGGTGATGGGTATACAGACCCTGGTGATAGATAATACAGACCCTGGTGGTGGGTATACAGACCCTGGTGATGGGTATATAGACCCTGGTGATAGGTATACAGACCCTGGTGATGGGTATACAGACCTTGGTGATAGATAATACAGACCCTGGTGATGGGTATATAGACCCTGGTGATAGGTATAAAGACCCTGGTGATGGGTATACAGACCCTGGTGATAGGTATATAGACCCTGGTGATAGGTATACAGACCCTGGTGATAAGTAAAGAGACCCGGGTGATAGGTATACAGACCCTGGTGATAGGTATACAAACCCTGGTGATTGGTTTATAGACCCTGGTGATAGGTTTATAGACCCTGGTGATGGGTATACAGACCCTGGTGATGGGTATAAAGACCCTGGTGATGGGTATATAGACCCTGGTGATAGGTATAAAGACCCTGGTGATAGATAAAATGGACCCTGGTGATAGGTATACAGACCCTGGTGATAAGTATACAGACCCTGGTGATAGGTATACAGACTCTGGTGATGGGTATACAGACCCTGGTGATGGGTATAAAGACCCTGGTGATAGATAATACAGACCCTGGTGGTGGGTATACAGACCCTGGTGATGGGTATACAGACCTTGGTGATAGATAATACAGACCCTGGTGATGGGTATATAGACCCTGGTGATGGTATACAAACTATGGCAATACATAAATATATGATAAATGCATAAATAAATCAATAAATCAATGCAAAAATAAATCAATCAATCAATAAAGAAATAAAAAATAAAGAAAAATACGAATAAATGAATGCATAAATAAATAGATAAATAATAAATAAATAAATAAATAAATAAATAGAATACGAAATAAATGAAGGAATGAATATAATAAATAGATAAACAAACAAATAAATGAACTTCTTGATGAATTAAGCAATTACTTAATCATTAGAATAATAAATAAATAAACAAACATGCATACAAATTAATAAATCAATGAATTGATTAATAGATAATTAATTAATGGATGGAATAATTAATAAATGAAGGAAAGAATGTTATAAATGAATTTTTAAAAAAATACAAATATATATTTTTTAATAAATTAATCAGTTACTTAGTTAATTAATTATAAGAATGATAAATAAATAAATTAAATAAATAAATAAATAAATAAATAAATAAATAAATAAATAAATAAATAAATAAATAAATAAATAAATAAAAACTAACTGTAAAGTTGATTGATTTATTCTTCTGCTTTTTTAAATAAAAGTTGATCGAATTATGCAAAAATTTCTGCATCTGACTATAGTATCATTCCGCATTACTAGTTTCCATTATATATTCCGAATTTCCTCTCTGCTGTTTTCCGATCTCGATGGAAATTTATTTCACGCATGCGCTCTGCCTGGTTATAGAGGCTGGTTACGAGATCCAAAACAGCATACATATTATACCTCAGGTCTAAGGACATGTACGAACGGAGGAAATTCGGGTTGAAATCCACACATTGTTCAAACATATTTTGATAAGAGATGTTTAGAGTTGTACAATAATTATTAAAGAAATGAAACTCGCCCTAATGGTTTCATCGTCGGGCATTCTATGTGTGTGGTGCCCAGACTGAGGAACAGTCAATTATCCATTCAACTTCAAGAACACATAAAATACTGATTACTGTACATTGTACCTACCGGGTCTTAAAATGTCTGCATCTTTTGTCAAAATACAAATTCCATTCCAAGCTAATAATGACAGCAGTTCCCTTCTTCGTGACACTCTCTTTCCTTCTGTCCAACAATACAACATGGCAGCCGAATTGTTGAATTTTGGCGGGCTGTAGTTTAAATTAATTGTTCATCGATCCCGACGTAATTGTACTATGAGCCGACAGTTTAAGAAAAAATTCTAAGTTATTTTCCACAGCTTTCCAGAGCAGAAAATGTCTAAGTTTCTCATTTTTTCAGCTTTTCCATAGAATTCCACAACTTTCCAAATCTCAAAATGTCTAAGTCCAAATTTGTTATTCAAATTCCAAAAGATTCCAAAAACTTCCAAAAACACTTTTAGACTCTTGTATGGAAATGTTTGGAATTCCATGGAATTCCAAAACTTTTCCAAACCCTTTGGAAAATCTACATTAGGGCTGCTTCCCTCAGCAACAAGGGGATGATCTGGTACAGTGGGAGAGACAACCCCTGGGCCTTCACGTTCATCCTGCGATGCCAACCTGAAATATGAATAGTAAATAAATATTAATATATGCTTTTGATTGATATCTATTGGATATCTTTACTTGTATGTTACCTATGTTTTATAAGTCAAATGTATATACCTGCTTCAAAATCTGCAGTCATCATTTCCACGGCAACACCATCAAGCTTCTGCTGAACTGCCCTGAAGACCTAAATAAAAATAAAAAATTACAATATTATTATATATTACAGTAAACACCCCTTAAATATTTTATTTGAAAAACAATTCAGAATCTTTAAAATATAAATATTATATAATTTTACCTCAACATAGTCTTCCTTGCGCCGCCTGGACATTAGCGCAAAGACCAATGGGAATTGCATGGATTTTCCATCTTTATGGACAAAGGCATGGATGGAAAGTAGCTGTCCATTTGGCTTCAGGAGGCTGGGAACAATCTGTGAAAGAAAAGCTCATAATTATGTATACTTAAATTAATACTAAATTTATGTATTACATATATCTTACTTTATTTATAAATTCATAAATTTGTATTTATGTATTACATATATCTTACTTTATTTATAAATTCATAAATTTGTATTTATATTTAAATATACATTTATTATGCATTGCTTACCTTGAATGTGCCATCAATGTACCATCTCTTGGCTTGCCGATGAATACTAAGCTGGTGTTCCGGTACCGATTCACGTATCTCTTTACGTTTGATGTCTTTGGAGCTAGGAATCTCTGGCCATCGCCCATCTGATCTGCCACTGTACTCTCAACGATGTCCCGAGCCTGTCGGAACACCTGCTGTCTGGCAATCTCCTTGGCCTGTGAATTAAAAAAAAACATAATTAGACACTGCAAAATTCAATTCTTGTAGCAAAATAATAATATGAAGTATAAAGTTTTGTAAAAAGTTATACCTGAGAAGAAACAACAATTGTCCAGATATACAAATAAATACATATACAAGTATATATTATAAACTTTAGTTAATACCTTCACTCCATATGTAAACCCATCGGAGGCGACAAGCAGCTTTCCACCTCTTTTGCTCCCCTTCTCTAATACTTCAAACTGAACTGGCCTTTCATCTAGAATGGTGTCGTTCAAATCTTCTTGCAAGGACTCGTCTATGAGATATATCAAACGACTCTAGTACCTCAGGGGGGCGGTAGACTGAATCTTCCTCATCAGACTGAAATAATAAATATATGCAATATTTGAAATTGAAAAAGAAATCTTGATGCAACTGAAAGAGATATGACATTTCCTTACATTTTTCATTAATTTAAAAAAAAAATCATTATTGTATATATATATATATATTACTTCAATATCAATACAAAAACTGTACATATACATGTACATTATAATAAATTCAGCACTTACTCAGCACCAAGGAGTTCAGAGATACGCCTCAGACAACCTCTCTCTATCGCAGCAAAATCACTACAAATGGATTAACACATTCAAATCATAAAAACAGCTTCTTTTTTCCAACCCAATGTAATATCCATAGGAGGAATGGTTCTGACACCAATTCAATTGGGAAAAATATAGTATCAAAATAGAAGAAATTGGGAATTTTCTATATCAACGAATGATGTTTATATTACACTATTCTAATTAAACTCTTAATTATTAATGTAGCAGTGTGTTTTAACTGTATATAATGTATATTACATAATATTTGAATAAATATTGTTGATATAAATGAAATTAAATAAGATTTTATGATTTAATACAAAACCCAGATCCACCCCTTTATTTACTTGGTGAGCGATAGAGTTCAAAGGTTATGACATTAGGGTTCTGTAATTTTATTGGTTTTAAGTTTTGATGGTTCTGAGTTGTTCTCAGATGGACTACTCAGAGAATTTGGTCAGGATAGTTGTGGTTTTTGTAACAAGAGAATTTTTAGACGAAGACAAAGACTTTGAGACCTTTAAGACCAGACCTGACAGTAAGTATAAAGTTTAACATTCTATATCTTTATAATATGTCTATTTAGCTAATATCACTGTTTGAAAGAAGAGTGAAAGTTTAAATATGAATAAAACTAAATTTAAAGCATTTTACCTCAGAGTATAAATTTATTTGAATTATGAGTATTATAGTATGTATAGTATAGTGTACAGTATTTGTTATTAGATATGTAAACCTGTATGACGCATCCAGGCTATTTACTATGTTTTATGGAATGGGCCTTGTCCCATAGAGAGGTAATTTGAATATATGTTACCTTTTGTATATTTTAAGTTATAATTACATATTGTTACATTTATTGAAATGTGGCAGTAAAATATTTGTGTAAAGAATATTTGTACAGTGATTTATGTATATGCTAAATATTCAAAGTAAAGGAAGATAACTCTTAACAGTTAAATCTATTTATTGTACATCGATAAGAATAAGTAATATATATATTATATACATTGTTATCTCATGTGATATTCATTGTTATTATTTTATTTTATAGGGCCATTTTGTTTATATAAATACTTTCCATGAACATCAGTAATAAACATAATGATGAACCCTTAGCCAGGAGTTGAGCTATTTACATTTAGTATAAACCACCCCTGCAACATTAATATATGTTTTAAAGCAAAAAACAAGTATTCCTTGTTTTACATATTAATGTCTCTTGTACTCATATTTTCAAGCTTTCATTAGTTGTCAATGGTGATAAACACGAGGCCGTCTACAACACGTCTCATTATTACAAATGATCCCTTCTTCTGATTTAAGAAGAAGTAAAAAATTTCAGTTCTGATATGCAATTTTCAGTCTCAAAATTTGGAAAAATCAATATTTTTTGGCATTGGAAATGGTTCTGTTTATCAGAAATTTAATTCAATATTTACTCCATTACAAGCTAGGGACAAAATCATTAAGCTTATCAAATTACAAGATTTTTAAGTGATTAACTACAGAAGGGGTTTCAGAACTAAGAAGGCATTTACCTGACAGAGACATTTACACAGCCTGAGAGAGGGGCATCATCCATCTTAATATCCATAGGAGAAAACAACACATTACTGCTCACAGGCAATAGCTGGTCTTGTTTCAAACATATTTGCTGGAATGATAAACCAAAAATGATCACAATTGAAATTTCATTCATATTTTAATTATCAACACAGAGAAAATTATAATGACATATTTAGTAATGTAAGCATGCTAGTACAGAATAGCATAACTATCTGATGTGTTCAAAAAAAAAAAAAAACAAGATTATGGTGAAATTATTTGGTAGTACAACTATATATAGAGATATAAAAATGATACTGATTGAATTTCCAATTCAGTTTACAAAATTCATATCAATCATTTTTAACTTTCATTTTTAATTCAAATTAAAAAAAATTCTTAATCTTAGCAGAAATAAAATTTTCTGAATACAAGAGGCCCAAGGCAGGGGTTTTTTAGGTCTTAAAATCAAGGGCCTAGGCCTTTCCATTTGGGAAAAATTAGCGACATTTAATGAATTTTCTTTGATGAAATTGGGAAAAACACACAAGCTCACCTCGACGAATGTTATCTATAAGTAAGGCAAACCTCACATCATATTTTTTTCTAGTTAGTGTACATCCCAAGATCAATATCTAACAAGTTTGGTTTAAGTAGGACTTACATTTACTTGGAAAAAGACCTGCTCAAAAAACTTGTAAACTGTTTACTAATCAAGAAATTTTGGTCAGTTCCAACATCCAAAGCAAGTCTGGAAGTTTTCATCCTTAGATGCATCATCTATGCAAGCATAATCATAACAGGTCATGATATGATATAGCTACTCCAAAAAAATTACCCTGGTCACTCATCTAGAAAATGAAGGTCAGATTCAGAATACAAAGCAAGTCTGGAAGTGTCCATTCCTAGATACATCATCCATGCTAATTTAGTTGAAATATGGCTAAAATTCACTCATGTGGAAAATCTAGGCACGATCTAGTATCCGAACAGGTTGGTTAGTGTACAACCCTAGATGCATCATCCATTGAAGTTTGGTCCAGGTAGGGCTTATAGTTACTTGCAAATGGACTTGTTCCAAAATCTTTACCTAATCACTTATCTGGAAAATCTAGGTCAGATCCAGCATCTGAAGCAAGTATGGTAGTGAACATCCCTATATGCATCATCCATCAAGTTTAGTCCAGGTTGGGCTTATAGTTACTTGGTAATGGACCTGCTCCAAAAACTTTAACCTGGTCACTCATTGGAAAATCTAGGTCAGATTCAGCACCTGAAGCAAGTGTGGTAGTGTCCATCCCTATATGCATCATCCATCAAGTTAAGTCCTGGTAGGGCTTATAGTTACTTAGGAATGGACCTGGTCTAAAAACTTTAACCGGGTCACTCATTGGAAAATCTAGGTCAGATTCAGAATCCCAAGCAAGTGTGTTAGTGTTCATCCCTATATGCATCATCCATCAAGTTTAGTCCAGGTAGGGCTTATAGTTCATTAGGAATGGACCTGCTCCAAAAACTTTGACCTGGTCACTCATTGGAAAAATCTATGTCAGTTTCAGCATCTGAAGCAAGTGTGGTAGTGTCCATCCCTAGATGCATCATCTAGGCAAGTTTGGTCCAGGTAGGGCTTAAAAGTTACTTGGGAATGGACCTGCTCCAAAAACTTTAACCTGGTCACTCATCTGGAAATCTAGGTCAGATCCAGCATCTGAGGCAAGTGCAAGATGCATCATCCATTCAAGTTTGGTCCAGGTAGGGCTTATAGTTACTTGGGAATGGACTTGCTCCTAAAACTTTACCGGGATGCCTACGCAGGGGGTATAGCATTAGCTCATCTCGACTTTGTCAAGGTGAGCTAAAAATCTGGTAAAAATACCCTTGCCTCTTGTAACGTGCTAGACCTGAGTGATCTCCTTTGGATCATACTTGGTTTTCCCAAGTCTTACAGGGATGATAATGAATGCAAAATATACAAATACAAAGGACACTTGCCTATTGTGTAAAGTATTCAATACAATGTATATACAGATAAGTTTTTGTCACTTGCCTAGTGCTACAATACAGTACACACAGACCTGGGTATACAACGTGGCTATTTGCCACTTGTCACTAATTACAATAAGTCACCCTGGCTCTCTGTGATTCTTTGTTCACTTTGACAAAGTATAATCAACATCCAGTCTCTTGTCAACCATGACTCTTCTATCAGTAACACTAACTTTGATCACCACAGTGTAAACAAACTGTGTACAATTGCAACTTTTGCTAAATATATAAATAATCTTTATGTCAATCTTTTATATTGCTTTCCAGGCAAGAATCTGACTTTGAGCATACTTCGCTCAATTAAACCAAACATTCATTTTTATTTTGTTTCTAGATACATGTATATAACATTCTTTCTTGTATTCTCATTCAATCAAATAATCTGTTAATTAAATCATATACAAGGATTTCTTGATTTACAATATTTAGCAATGGGGAGTAACTCTCATTTGCTTCACATCACAATTGTGTACTCTGCCTCCTAGATACCCAGAAGCAAAGAAAAGGCACGTTTACTTATAATCATATTTAATACATTTACATTTATATTATATTTAGTTTGTTTGCTTAGTACTCAAGGGCAGAGAAGTTTTTCAAAGCATTAATGCATTTTGCTAATTCATCAATAGAACCCCACCCAAGCACAAGAACCGGGCCTGACCCAGGGGCCATGAAATTCAAAATTTTGGAAGAGGCATCCTTTCTCATCATAACTATGTATTTAGTTTGTTTAATTAAGGAAAAGATTTTCATAGCATTAATTTATTTTCAGTATATAATAAGTAACCCCCCCCCCCCACACACACACACACATGGAACCCCTGACCCAGGGGCCATGAAATTCACAATTTTGGAAGAGGCACTCTTGCTCATCATAATTATGTACTTAATTTAATATTTTAGTTAATTTACTGTTAATATCATCAATACAGATGTCTTTCTCATTTAGACTTTTATCAAATTCAACTAGGCTGTTAGAGCTTTCTACATCAACAAGGGCTGTTTGGTAAGCAAGTTTACATTGATTAGACCAAATGTACTGTCCTTTCAAAAGGTTGGGACCAATCACCCAAATGGGATATAATAGCCCTTTTGGGATATAATATACCAAATGGGATATAAATTTACAGTGCAAAAATGACATTTTTTATTTTGGCTAATTTTGCCGATATATAGATTACTATAGTAAACATAGATATTATATGCTTGTGTCCCCTCAATAAAAACATGTAATGACTTTTTCTTTTTTTAGACGGTGGCTATTTATAGCCACAGGCTATTGCTGCTGGTCTGGGCTATGAATAAACAACAGTGTAAAATCAAGGGGACCCTAGCGGCGATTTTTGCAGAGACAAAATAATGAAAGTGGGGTCGTTTCGATGTTCGAAAATAAAATGTACATGGTTCTCAAGTTATTTCAATGACATTTTGTTGATGAGCGCAAAGTTTAATTCCTGATATTTGCCGTTTTAATATTTCTTGCCTTATGAATATTCATTAACGTTAACGTTAATTCGTACAAAAACTGATTCGTATATAAGGAGTCAATTTGTATGCTAACCACAAAAGTCAATTCGTACATAAAGTTTGCTGAACATGAAACAAATGCAAAAAGTTAGTTCGTATACACATCCTTTTTTACGTTGTGTAAATGTAAAATTTCAATAAAATTTATTAAGAGTAAAAAAAAAATCTGGGGGAAAATATTTATGGATAATGGTTTCACATTACACCTTACCATCTTAAGAAATAAAATAACTATTGTTAAACCAACACACTCTCGGCGGTTTCTTAATTCGCTGTTGGATGTGTGACAAACGCTTATTACGAGATGCTCCCAATTTGGTATTCCCTAATTACGAGATACTCCTGCTTGGAAAGCGTCGATCCCCAAATTTCTCCATTTCCGAAAATTCAGTTAACATGATTCAAGGACTGCGTATTCCTTGTTGCAGAACTGCATG